GTAGTGACCAACGTTTTTAGTCCAGATTGCTTACATGTCAACATTTATTTCATAATTAGTGAAAGCAGCAAATATGCCTATTTCTACTTTAATTTGACCTAAAGTAAGCTAAAGATCTGCCGCAGTGTTTTGAATGTTAATCTAAGTTTCTTTTTGTTACAGATAACACCTCCAAATTTTCACTTTAAGTACTGTATCATACTATAGTCATACAGCAGCTGGAGACAGGAACCCGGCCTAAACCATTTGGACTTGTGATGTCAGTGACTTTGAAATGGTTGCTCTGAAGGTGGGGACCAGGTCTGCGACCGACTTTGGTGCTAGATGGTGATAAAAATGGAAATAAGTTGGAGTCAGTCTTTTGAATGGAGTCAAGTTGGCAGTTAATTGCAGTGTGTTTTTGATAATATGACAACGAACTGTGATAAATGGGCCAAAATCACCAACCTGTTGCTGCCTGCTGCAAATATGTTCCTATATTACATACACAGAAAGCCACATTAAACAGGAATTCATGTTAGCTAACATTCATAGATCTGAAGCATAACAAACAATGATGCAAAAAAACATGCTCATCATGCACATCCTTACTTTAATATAGAAATATGACCAGTATACAACCAGCTGGCAACTTGTTAAGTCAGGTCCCTTATTACAAAGAGAAGTGTTGCACACAAGTTGTGCTCATCTAAAAAAAAAAAAATGAATCAGACTGATTGCAACGTCTTGGTAATCTGCCTGTTTATAAATTAGAAGGCAAATATTTACAAACCTTCACCAGTCTGTCTGAGAGTGATTGCAGATTTGTTGGCAGACAGGTTGCCCACCACCAGGCAACCCGTGCAATCACTTTGTGATCAAAAGTGAGATCCTCAGCTACTTACAACCAGTCACTAAATGTGAAAAAAATTCAGTGCGGTCACCGCTATTTGTAATTTTACTCTAGTGTCACTAAGCCATAAAGTGGCCAACAGTTTGCAGAGCATCACTTGCCTCTCAGTCTACAAGCTTTTTTACAAAACTGTGTACATATTCTGTATGCGTGAATAAATTTGCACCATGTTGCTCAAAATCTTCTATTCAAGTGTAAATATTATCCTCTAACAGCACAGAAACAACACTGCAGCTTTGCCTTCATGTCTTCATCTGCACTTTTAGACATTGTTATTCTGTATTTACTAAGTCCGAGTAGCAGACCTTCTGCTGTGAGTTGAAATCTAGCTATTTAGCAACCTTACGTGCAAGTGATCATTTTTATATGCAAGTAATTACTTTGAACTGCAACATTTGTCAGCGCGCAGAGGCTGTGATAAATGTAGAGAAAGGACTTGCCGAGACACTGGAGGAAACAAATGCGAAGAAGATGGATATACTGTATGTGCACTTTTGTTACCTATAAAAAATTAATCTGTAGAACGATTATTATATGGTTAGGATTTAGGTGTCTCTCTCCATTAATAAAGCCCTATTGGTGAAATGTGTCAAATCAATCCGGCAAACCTATAATAACACTAAGGTGTATTTTTGTGCTTCAGCCATGCAGCCAGTGATTTCAATACTCCCATTCTCTCATCAGCGGACTACAGGAATGTAATTTCATGTTGACAACGAACATAATTGCAATTTTATTGCGCACAGTGTCACAGCACTACAATATGCATTAACCACTGTAATGTGCCAGTAAGGACATAGGCAGCTTGTATAATGTTTATGAAATGAAAAGCATTAATTCGACAGACTATGCAATCATCTCGGTTTTTCATTTTCTTTTCCCACATTTCGTTAATGCTTCCAGACTGTCCATGGGGAATGAGCAAAATAAGTAAAAGTGAAGAAATGTGTAAAAAGATGTGTTTCTTTTGAAGCTATGACCATTTGGAAATCAGCCATTACTCAACATTTGATTCAAAAATTCTAACGTGGAAAACATTTAGTCTAAAAAATACTTTTTTCTGTGGCCAAATCATGTGATGCATCATCTCTGATCATACCACATTTTAATCTCGATCAGTCATAGCGTGGGAGTATGAGTCACTTTTTTTGAACATCTCATTTTCAAAACACCTCGCTCTCACTGATGAGGTCTTTGTAACGGCATCGAGTGCTTTCCCTTGCGTCATTTTAGACCACTCATTCACTCCAGAGCCGGAGCAGTGTTACACACAGATAGGATAATGATTTTCAGTGATGATGCTGAGCCTTGATCGCTAGGGTTCTGCTGGTAAACATGGTCCCTGAATCACCTACGTGCTCATTTTCACTTAGTAACTGGATATTCCAACAGCCTTGGGGCACAGAGTAACTGCTGTTATTTCTTGCCAATTCTTGTTTGATCAAGTGGAGTCACACTGGTTAATAAAAAGTGAGACTTCAAAGAAGACATCAGTATAAATGTGATTGTGTTTTGTTTATTCTTCTCACACAGTCACTGGGTCAAGATTGCGACAGTTTTTCCAGTGCAGCACAGATGCAGTAAATAGGTTAACTTTATGATGTATTTGATATCCCCCGTGTTCCTGTTGTCATAATAATTACTGTTGATCTAGGTTCAACATTTCAAATGAGCAATCACATTCTTATGATGTCATAGTTCTGCAGGGTGAGGAAAGAAAACCCTGCCGAAGTCCATTCAAAACCTCCAAAAGAGAAGAGTTAGGATCAGGGTTACAGGGCAATAGTTGAAGCTATGATCATGGGGTAATGGTTTGGTATGATGCTGTTTCCAAGCTACAAAACTATGACATCACAACAATGTGATTGGTCACTTGCTATGTTGAACCTGAACCACATTTGTTTTTGATGATCCAGGAACAACACCAACACAATAGTGCTAACATTAGCTGGCGCTCATGGGTGGAATAGTGCTCTCTGTGTTTATGTTGGGCAATCCAATATAATATAAATGATTATTAATACAGTAGGACCTATGGTGGCGCAGTGGTTAGCACTGTTGCTTCTGGATTAGGCCTTTCTGTGTGGTGTTTGAATGTCTTCCATGTGCCTTCATGGGTTTCCTCCAGGTTCTAAGGCTTATAAAGTTATATAAAGTGTTTTATGTGTCTACTATAACATACTTAAAGTCTGGTTAAATATGGCTTGTGGTCTTAAGTGCTTTGAGTGGTTGGAAAGACAAACGAAATGCTATATAAATGCCAATCAATTTACATGTCTGTGTGTGGTTGTCTGTCTCTTCGTGTTAGCCCTGTGATGGGCTGGTGACATGTCCAGGGTGTGCCATGCCAAAACAGCTCATCACAGGGTAAAGTAACCCAGTATTGTAATCATCTGACTTAAACAGGGCCAGATAACCAACAGACCCATCAATGTTTAGTGCACGGATACATGATGACGTTAATAATTATCTGTCTCGCTAATACAGTCAAAACACTGTGAGTCATACAGAAAGCAGACCTTATTTCATACATAAGTCAAGAACTGCTGTGTGTGTTAGTGACTGAGTTAGAAAGCTCTTTTTTGATTTTCAGAGAAACTAATCATCTGAATGATCAAGTGCCCGCAGTGCATTTGCACCACGGAGCTCTCTCTGCTGTGCTGCTGTCCGAAGTGTTTTGAGCGGGTTTGATTTTAGTTCGACAATAGAGGGCGCAAGTCAGCAAGGATAAACCCACTGCTGGAATTCAGAGAGCCGTGTGCGAAAGATGCAGCTGCTGAGACTGGCTGCCTCTTGTCCTCTCCCCCTCCTTCTTCCCATCCCACTGCCCCTCACTCATTCACTCACTCATTACACTCATCCACTGTATCTATAATTTCACATGCGCACAGCGCCGCAATGCTCCCTTATGATGACCCTCAGTTCAAAGTTGAGGATATCCACACGCACACGTATTAAAGCACGTTTTTTCTTTGCACCTAGCACGACAACGCGTACGTGCTGAAACAGAGACGAATCCACCTTAAGCACCTTAAAAATGTTCTCATTTACGTACCTCGCAGGCAATGAAATTATGCTGCTGGAGAGAGCGTCCGCGAGCATGTCAAGGATGTCTCTCAGAAAATGTGTCCTGCACAAGCAGTTAAATGACAACTGTAGTATTCACACACTGCACACACACACACACACACACACACACGCACTAATCTGATACAGGGAAGTGGGGTTTGCGCAGTGGCCGAAATAACGAAACCCTTTGCTGCGATCGTCTGGATAGCCATGCAGGGCTGATCTATTTATTTTCCTTTTTTGGGGGGGTCTTATTCCCTCTTTGTGGAAATGAATTCATAGACACGGTCTCTCACATTCCTGGACGCTGAGCGGACTGAGCAACACGCAGCCGAAAGACACGGAGCTTGCCGCGTCGGAGAGCACAGCCACTGGAGACCACACGCATTCGTATAAGTAACCACAGGGAAACCACAGCTCTGCGCACACAGGAAGCCCTGTCCCGTCTCTCCTGTCCTGCTGCTGCTGTCGTGTTAAAACCCGAGAACTTACACTGTCTGATTTTTTTGTTTTACCACGCAAGTTGTAACATGTGTAGGTAACATTGAAACCGATCACTTGTGTCGGTCTGGCAGTGCGTAAAAGTTGCACTCTGGATTTGCGTTCCGGGTAATCTCATGCAGCACAGGGTGGAAAATAGTATAAGAGCGGTACTTCAAGATTTTCAAATCACAGTTTGTTTTGAATCTGATCTCTCGCCATAGCCACAACATAGGATGTTAATGGATTAATACGAAGCATCCGAGAGATCCTCGCAAAGTGCCGAGCCACGTCTCGAGAAAACACCGATGAAAACGAACGTCTGAGTGCATGTTCCTCATATGTCTCCCCCTTTATTATTATTATTATTTTTCCTAATATTGCCTGCTGGCCTCTAGACCTGGCGATCGAGACTTTAAGTCCGACCCTGTTTACGTGCGCTGCTGGAGTAGGGGGGGAGAAGCGAACGGAGGAGGGGGTGGAGAGAGGGAGAGAGAGAGGGGGGAAAGAGAGAGACTGCAATATCATTTGTGAATCCCTCTCACAGTGCTGCAGATAGGGGCTGCCAACACACGCGGCGCGTCTGCAGGTGTGGGAACAGGAGGGATATGTTGGACAAAGTGAGAAATTAAACCAACCGCTTCCCAATAACTGCTTCGGATGTACATTCCATCTTTGTTTTGTTTTATTTTGTATATGTATTTTTTCTATTTTTAATATTACCCTGATTTTTTTCCAGTAGGTTACACATTCGTGCAGCAAGCTGGTAAAAAAGAAGCGAAAGAGATAGAGCGAGAGTACTATTCTGCTAGTTGCAAGTGACTTGGAGGAAGACAGCCGGACAGGTAATTTCTGCCTTACGTTCGTATCGCCGAGCTCAAGACAGTTAACGAGCTGTTAACACAGTCGGCCGGGTGATGACTTGTCTGAACTGAGCGGGCATTTAAATGATCTTCTGACATATATGGACATATCACCGGACAGAGGAATACAGAGGAATACTGGAGCCTCACCCAAAAATTAAAAGAGCGGGAGCGAGAGAGAGGAGCGTCTACAAACTGTGAGTAAAACGGAGCGGCTTGGACTGAATCTACTTTCTGGTTATTTGATGCTCGGACTATAACGTTTCGGCTTTTTTTTTTTTTTTTTACACGCATGACATTCAGATATTTTGGGAGGAGGGGGCCACTGTCCGGGGCGCACGGAGAATCCGGCTTGTTCTCTACATCACTTTAAAACAAACAAACAGAAAATACTAAAAGAAAGGAAGGAGAGACATTCGAAGGAGGGAAAGCAGAGGAGAGCTGGGTAAGCCCGTGCGTTTGCCGATTTTTTTTTCACTGCAGCAGGAGAAAAGTCCGGGAGGATGAAGTCTCACGCATCCCAGACCAGAAGGCTTCGCTCTGAATGAAAGCGATATTTCCTTCCCATATTCGGACTTTCTATTAGTGATTTTTTTTCACTTATTATTAAAGTGGACATTTTTTTCCTCTCCATTCCCCCTTCCTTCTCTGGGCTGAACAATGAGGACTACTGGTGCAGTGGACTATTTGTACTATTGCATGCTCATCTTGCAGCTTGTGCATCAGCCCGCTGCCAAGCAAGTGCTCCGGTACCGTTTAGCTGAGGAGGGACCAGCAGATGTCAGAGTAGGGAACGTAGCCACCGACCTGGGCATTGTCGCCGGGTCCGGTGAGGTGACGTTCACCCTCGAATCCGGGTCCGATTTTTTCAAGATAGACAACATTACAGGTGAGCTCTCCACCAACGAGAGGCGGATAGACCGTGAAAAACTGCAGCAGTGCCAAATGATATTTGATGAAAACGAATGTTTTATTGATTTTGAAGTGTCGGTGATAGGACCAGCGCAGAGCTGGGTCGACCTCTTTGAGGGAAAAGTCATCATATTAGATATAAACGATAACACCCCGTCTTTCCCTTCCCCTGTCCTGACACTTTCTGTGGAGGAAAACAGACCCATTGGAACCCTTTATCTGCTGCCCACAGCCACAGACAGAGATTTTGGCAGAAATGGAATAGAGAGATATGAGCTCATTCAGGACAATGGGGAGAATTCAAGGCGATTGGGGTCTTCTGGGGATTCGTTTTCAGGAAAGAGGAGATTTGAGGAGGGAGCGAGCAGGAGCAGTGTCTTTGAACTGCAAGTTGCTGACACTACTGATGGAGAGAAGCAGCCTCAACTCATCATTAAGGGGGCCCTTGATAGGGAACAGAGAGACTCCTATGAGCTTACACTGCGTGTTAGGGATGGAGGAGATCCCCCTCGCTCCTCTCAGGCCATTCTTAGAGTAATGATAACTGATGTGAATGACAACAGCCCTCGGTTTGAGAAAAGTGTGTATGAGGCTGACCTGCCTGAAAACAGCTCCCCTGGCGCCCCCATACTCCAGCTCAAAGCGGCTGACGCAGATGTAGGGGTTAATGGTCAAATAGAATATGTGTTTGGGGCAGCCACAGAGTCAGTAAGGAGACTGCTGAGGTTGGATGAGAGCACGGGGTGGCTGAGTGTGTTGCACCGCATTGACCGTGAAGAAGTGAGCCAACTGAGGTTTACAGTAATGGCCCGTGACCGAGGCCAGCCACCCAAGATGGACAAGGCCACAGTGGTGCTGAACATCAAGGATGAGAACGACAACGTGCCTGCTATAGAAATTCGGAAAATTGGACGCATTTTCTTAAAAGACGGGATAGCCAATGTGGCTGAGGATGTGGTGGTGGACACACCCATTGCTTTAGTTCAGGTGTCAGATCGTGACCAGGGGGAAAATGGCATAGTGACTTGCACAGTGGTAGGAGATGTGCCATTTCAGCTCAAACCGGCCAGTGAGATGGAGGGCGAGCAGAATAAAAAGAAATATTTTCTCCACACGTCTGCACAACTGGACTTTGAGGCAACACAGGAATACAATGTGGTCATAGTGGCCGTGGACTCTGGGAGCCCCAGTCTGGCGAGTAATAACTCTCTTCTCGTCAAAGTGGGCGACACTAATGACAACCCTCCTATCTTCAGCCAGAATGTAGTAGAGGTTTCGTTTCCGGAAAACAATGCACCAGGTGAGAGGGTGACAACAGTGAAAGCCATAGATGCAGATAGTGGGAGGAATGCTGAAATAGCCTATTCCCTAGACTCATCAGTAAATGGGATTTTCTCTATTGATGCAGACAGTGGAGACATCCGAGTAAACACCATTCTGGATAGAGAGCTAACAGAGCGCTACGAATTCAAAGTGATAGCCAAAGATAAGGGCATAAACACCCTTCAGGGTTCTGCAACAGTGGTCGTCCTTGTGGCCGACAAGAATGACAATGAGCCAAAGTTCATGCAGGATGTTTTCACCTTTTATGTCAAAGAGAACCTTGATCCTAACAGCCCAGTTGGCATGGTTACAGTAATCGATGCAGATAAAGACCAAAATGCAGAAATGGGCCTCTTTATTGAGGAAGAGGAGGACATTTTCTCTATCGAGAATGAAACCGGGACTATTTTTTCCACCTTGTCCTTTGACCGAGAACAGAAAGGTACCTACACATTCCGCGTCAAGGCTGTGGATGGAGGTGAGCCTCCCAAATCTGCCACCGCCACAGTTTCACTCTTTGTCATGGATGAAAATGACAATGCTCCATCTGTCACTTTCCCAATAAACAGCTCCTACACCCTTCTTCCTCCCTCCACTAACATCAGAACTGTGGTCAGAACCGTCACAGCTAGTGATGCAGATACTGGCATCAATGCGGTCCTGAACTTCAGCATCATTGGGGGTAACCCCTTCAGACTTTTTGAGATTGATGCAGAGAGAGGGGTGATTTCGCTAATGGCAAAGCTGGAGCAGAAGCATCATGGCCTCCACAGACTGGTGGTTCAGGTGAATGACAAGGGGCAGCCTTCGCAGAGCACCACCACACTAGTTCATGTGTATGTTAACGAGACACTTTCCAACTCCTCAGCTGTGGAGGCCCAGGTGGCTAAGAGCCTGAGCACATCTCTGAACACCAACATCGCCGGCGACCCCAACTATGACCTAAGCAAACAGCGGTTAAGTATTGTAATTGGAATAGTTTCAGGCATCATGACAGTCATCCTCATCATTCTTGTTGTTGTCATGGCCCGTTATTGCCGCCCAAAGAACAAGAACGGTTATGAAGCTGGCAAAAAAGACCATGAAGACTTCTTTACACCACAGCAGCATGACAAATCTAAGAAACCCAAGAAAGATAAGAAGAAACAAAAGTCCAAACAGCCGCTCTACAGCAGCATTGTCACTGTAGAGGCCTCGAAACCCAACGGGCAGCGCTATGACGGCGTCAACGAGAAGCTGTCCGACAGCCCTGGCATGGGCCGCTACCGTTCAGTCAACGGAGGGCCGGGAAGCCCAGATCTGGCCCGGCACTACAAGTCCAGCTCGCCACTGCCCACAGTGCAGCTTCACCCGCAGTCGCCGACAGCTGGAAAAAAGCACCAGGCAGTTCAGGACCTGCCCCCTGCCAATACCTTTGTTGGCACCGGAGATAACATTTCCCTTGGATCTGACCACTGCTCTGAATACAGCAGTCAAACTATCAACAAGTACAACAAACAGGTAAGAAGACACATTTCAGTGTTCTTTTGTCTCCCTCCACTACTCTTAAATGTCTTCTGCTTTTTCCTCTTAGTGTTCTCTCTCCCATAATGCTTTCTGACAGGGCTAGTCTCAGTAGTCTTGTTGCCTTTATGGTGCTAATGTGTGTCAAGTTAGCGGTATTGATCTGTTTTGGTTTGGAGTGCCATTCACATGTAATATTGAAAGGAAAGAGAAAGGGTTTAGATTAGCTCAGGAAAGGATACTGTTACAACTTAACCAAATGTCCGACTATTTTGGACTTTTATCTCAGCGTGTTAAGCTGCCTTTTCCGTCATGGGTGTCACAACTCTTAACCTTGGCAATATGTGTTAGAAAACTGTAGACAGCTCACATAAGGATTTGGTTTGCAGTTATTTTATCCCAGAGGGGCGCATGCATGGCAGGGGCTGGCTGCACTCCCCTCTGCCCTGCCCTCTGTCTGAGACAAGGCTACCTTTTCTTCTCATGCAAGGGAGGAAAAAAAATGAACAAAGGCAAAAGAAAAAGGGAAAAGGTAGATGCAACACAAATGTGGCTTTGTTAGGGCTCTGAGTCACTTTGAGAGAATCTACTTGACTAAGAACATCTGGCCCCGAGTCACATTAACATCACGGTGTGCTTCAAGGTCTGCATCAATTCATTGACCTCGCAGTGAAAACTGACACTTTTATATCAACTCCCATGTTGTGCTTCAGCTTCACATCCTCCGTCTTTTCTTTTCATCCATGTTTATAAATGTATGCCGTCTTGTACCTGCTGCTCTTTCTCTTCCACACGTATCCGCCCTCCACTCGTCTTTCCCCTTTCATGTTTCCTTTTTCTTTTGCCTTGCTTCCCCCCCCCTCCCCTCACCTTTAATTCTCTTCTTTCTTTCACAGCACAGACAGAACTTGTAGGTGACGCTATTAGATTTTTAAAGTTGAGGAAGTGTGCGCTTTTATGGACTCGGTCATTATATTTCTCTGGCTGCTTTTGCACTGTTAGGTGAAGCAACAGCGAGGAATCAAAGATAATACTTAATGAAGCCAGCTTATTTGCGTTTTCGTGAAAAAGAACACCATTGTATTTTTCCTTTTTTTTTCCTATGGAAGTCTAATGAATTATTGATCTTTCTTTTACTTTGTGTCAGCACTACTCCTTTTGAAATCGGTAGTGTTGCTCGCTTGCTTGCACTTTTTTATTTCCTGGTTTCCCCCTTCTCCTTTAGATATCTTTGTTCTTGCTTATATTCTTCCCCTTCCCCTCTAACTCTTCCTTGGACCTTTGTAGAACTCCCTTGCATGTCTTGCATCCACCTGTGCCGCCTCCCCCCCCCGTAGCTCTTCCTCTCCCTCTATTTATTCCAGCCTCATCCACATCTTAGCCCGCACAGCCCAACTCCTTTTTTCCCCTACAGAGCTTTCTTTTTTAATCTTTACTGTCATCTCTCTATGCCCTTCTCTCCTTCCCCTCTGTATTTCTCCCCTTCAAATCATTTCAGCCCTCTTTTAACTTCTCTTCCTTCTCTTTCCCTGCTCTGTCTCTAACAGCCTCTAATATAGTGCATTCACTGAGCTGCTTCCCAGAGTGTGAGGAGTGCTGTTGTTTTCGGATGTCTCCTGCATAATTAAAAGGGCACTCTATTTGCTGCTGCGGCAGCGGCATGTATTGTGTGTCACTATGCTCCACTTATATAATTATTTATTTACTCTCTACATTAATGCACCGCTAACTTTTATGGACTGTGCATTTCTTACCATCCAGCATCTTGGAGGAGGAAAAACAACAACAATCTGCAGTGCATTTTTAAAATGTATTTCTTTATTTTTTGATTCACAGGTGCTTAATTTTGGAACCCAAATGGCATTAAAATGGTACAAAATGTGCTTAGTGCTCTACTGGGCAATAACATCTAAGATCACTGTGTCATATAGCTGGTTTATCATTGAATATACAACTTATAGCATGTGTTCAAATTTCCATTTATGCCCTCTGGGCTCAGTGAATACTTACTGTTGATGCATTCAGTTTGGGTCATAAGGACATAATTAAATGGCTACACAAGAGAGCTAACTGAAGAGAAGGTGTGTGCTCATGTGCTCCAATTATGGCATTAAACAGCCACCTCTGTATGAGATTAAGTAGTGAAGCGGTCACGCTCTTGATTTTAAGATCACTGCATCTAAAAATATTCTGTTGTCTGGCGAGTGCTTCTGAGGCTAAGGACATAATGAAACACTCTAGGAAACTCGTGCGCCTCGCTTATGGGAACAAGTTGTGCACAAAAAAAGTGTTAGAAAATGATAAGATCAAAGAATGCTGCTTTTTTTTTATCACGTTTCATACATTGTTAGACCTAAACTCATGTTCCTGAGCTAATTTAAATGTCAGATTGACCCTTTTTTCACATTTGGCCACAATTAGTTTCTTGTAACTCTCTTTCGGAACATTTGTCACCGTGCACGTGTTTTGTTACGCACACACATACACACAAAACCTTTCTTTCTGGCTTTTTTTTATCCATCTGTGGGAAGAAATAGAGACGGGCGCAAGAATGACGGCCCTGTTAGCGGTATAGAGAATGGCCCCCACTGTTTCACAAGGGACTTGGGGTTGGGTGGAAAGACAGAGAGAAGGACAGCGAGAGAGGGAGAAAAGTGCTGACCACTGACTGTAATGTCGGAGGTATCGGGTTCCATCTTTCTCCCTTCTCGCTCTCCTAATCTTACAGTAACCGCACAGGCAACCTGCTCGGGCAGGTAACCAGGCAACTGAGGAAGTTTATCAGTGAGGCGAACCTTTCTTTTTAGCCCGACAGACATTTAAAGAGTCATTAAGTTGAGCTAACTGTGAGGGAGAAGCCAGCGTGTCACCCAGCTGCTGCTGAGTTTGAACAGGAGCAGCAGCAGACCTGACATTTCATCTCTTCCTGTCACTCCATTGATTGCAGCTTATGTCATTTGTAATTGTCTTTATTTTCTTCTTCTTCTTCTTTTTTTTGCTATATGCGCACAACATTATGCGTGGTCTAACTGCTCCTTATATACGCACGGCCAAGCCATTCCATCCAAAGGCTGATGAGAAGCGCATTCACTTAACAGAACACTTAACTTTATTACTTTTGGCAGTAGCTTCTGTTCTGCGCAGCGGCAAAAAAATAATACCATCCAACCTTGTGAGGAATGAAATCACTTAGTCACTGAATTAGCACAAGCCATCAGCTTTTGTTTTATCATTACACTTCAAAGCGGCGCTCGTGCCCAGGTGGATCACTTTTAATCAGTAGTGAGCCACAGCAGCTTGTATTCTCTGTTCTTGCAGCGTAGCCCCTCAGGGCAGTCAAAGCCGCCGTCCAACCACTTACACCAGGTTATCTTGCCTCGGGGCTGATGCGGCAAGCATAACTGGACGCTGCCCTTAACCCGGCTTCCCCGGTGCTCGTCTCGTGCACTCCGGCCAGCTGTTCCTCCTGCACCTCTCCTGCACGAGCTGAATATGGCCGCGAAGCATCTGATTTGCATAGGGCAAACCCTCGCCCCTCTGCACTTATATAAGACAAACAATATCGCCATGCAAATGGAGGTCACTTGGGTGGTGGTTGTAGCCAAAACATAGGATGCGATTGCCCTTCAGACTCTAAGACGTTCAGGAAACCAATATGGAAATGTAGCTTTTTGCCTACGGCATCATTTGTTTTAACTTAGGAAATGTAGCTGCCTAAACACCTGTAAAAACCCACAAGTGCACCAATTTAAACTGACAAAGGATCAGTTAGCCTCTATATTAATGCTTGCATTTAGGATCATGTAATCATGTCTCTGATTTCAGCCCACTGCGTGTGTTTTTTGTATTCTAAATACACATATACAGGCATCAAACTCTCATAAGTGGGAGCTAGTGACTCATTCAGCTCAGTAAGACAATTACTTGCTAAAAGGTTCTGCTGAGTCTGTCAGAACTTTAACAGGTTTAGTCATGCCCCAGTCTCCATCTAATTGTTGATTCAGGTCACTTATTTTGCTTTGTTATAATGTGAGCCAGACAGTTGCAAAATCAGGTAAGCAGATAGCTGGGCATGTGGCTGGTTGATATAATCAGATCAGATTTCGACTGAGCCAGATCATGAAAATTGATTGTTCAGATTTAACCGCGGGATATTATTATTTTAGAATTTGACATACATTATGAAAACAACCCATAATGCATTTCGGGATTGTGTATTTTTGGTTCTGTCAGATGACTGTTCTGCTTAATAAAAAAGAAAAAAAAGGAAACTGAAGCATTAAATACATTGCTTTATTGCACAGCTCTACGTCCTTTCATTTAAAACCACTTAGAGTCGACCCTCACTGCTGGCTGTTCTACCTGCTGTTCTTTGCTCAGCTAGCATCCCACACTGTGATATGTAATTGCCTTTAGAGTGCTGCTATTCGAGATTTGGTAATCTTGCGTCCGTGCACTTCGGTCTAATGCTGCTTTGAAAAACTGGCACAAAACTAAGTTGGATTTTCTGATCCCAGACACGGGATTTCCAAACGCACATCATTAGGACCCAGATTAAACATTTCTGGCCAACTGGCACCATTATCAAATTAGCAAAACTGGTAATGAAAACATTTCAGCTTCACAGAAATTTCCAACAGAATGCCAAAAATGGTGGGAAAAATGAATAATCTTGAAATCTTGTCTTTAGTAAGAAATAAGATAATGTGCAATGAGCTGGTTTGTTTAATGCCTCATTATTATTATTAGTGCTCGTCCTTTCTACTGCTGACTGTGTCTAATTTGATCAAAATTGTTTTGGATCTATTACGGCTTAATTCAATCTACGGCTGCTCGGGCTTTTGTTGTTTATGTTCCTAAAGGAAAATGGAGGGAGTAAGAGAGCTCAGTAATACTCATGAAACTGCAGCGGGCAGCATTTTCTGGTATAATGTGGTTTGGTGATTTGAATGCACTCGCTCTAAGGCAATTACTAATCTAAGGATTAGACTTACCTG